TTTTTTTTTAAATTATTCATAGTTTAGATTTTTTTATCACTTGACATAAACAAAAGTTTTTATTTGTTTTTGTACGAATATAGCTCAGCTGGCTATTTAAGGTTGCTCCATACATACTATTCTAAAGACTCTTCATAGTTGATGAGTGGAAAAAAAGATCTTTTCCTATCCGACTGCGACAATGTTGTAGAACGATTGTCGCAATAACTACCGATCACCGACTGTCGACAAACGACTAGCGTCATCCGACAGCGACATACGACTTATTGTAGAACAGGCTTCAGAGCCCATCCTCTTTACTCTACGTTGGAAAAAGAAGGATAAACTCTGACCCAGAGCGACCCAGAGCGACCAGTTCAGGCAAAACGAACAGACCTAAAGTAGGTCAAATGTGTTTTCGAACGCAACAATCGAGAGTTCACGAAGAGTTCTCAAGCCTATGTCACACTACGGATTGGGATTGAGATTAGATTGAAATTTGACCAATTAGAAAAAAGAAAACCAATCCTAAGTTTAGTGATCTTCTCTCTGATTGGCCAAATTGCAATCCAATCTCAATCCTAATCCGTAGTGTGACATAGGCTTCAAAGTGTTTTCGAACGATCCACGTAAGATTAAAAGCACTCGAGGAATGTTTTCGAACGCAGTCCCAGGGGCACGGTGCCATAATTGCAAGAAGAAGAAGGAGACGCGAACAAACCTAACCTACAGATGCCTACAGAGCTGTCAAGAATTGATCAAACTCACATGACTTTACATACAATTCATGTATTGTACATAAACTAACATTTACATGCATGAATACAATCGCCTAATGAGTTAAAAACCTCAACTTTTTAATAAAATTCTTTTAAAAATAATTTTTGTGAACGATTAAAATGTGTAACATCGAATATGTGCCAATGTAATGTAAATTTGCATATTGTACATGTACTTTTGTGCTGATGATATAATTTGTTGTTTTCTTTGTATAAAAATAAAAGAAATTGATGTATAAATGAGAAGAGTACAGACATGGAACCACAAAATTCTAATAATGTAGTTTTAAATACACATGCAATATTAAGATCATGTGCTACAACTAATGAAGGTATATGAGATATATCACATTGCACAAAAAATAAACACTAAACGCTGCACTATTTCGAAATTTTTTGTTTGGAATTAGTTTTGTTTTTAATGGTAATAGTACAATAGTTTTGTTAAATTGTTTTGTTAAATTTTGAATTTATAACAAAGTTTAAACTATATGTTCCATATCCCAGTAAACAATTTTGTTGTCAGATGTCGCGATTTTGTCGCTAATCGCCACACCAAATCCATATCCATCTGTGTCCTCAGTAGGATATAGTTTTGGTGAGTTTTGGTGACCATGTTGCGTTTTTTGTGTCTCTGTGTCAACAGCTTTGGTAGCACACAAAGCATCTGTTTCCGTATTGTAGCGTTTCTGCACACAGTTTCTGTTGCCAGGTCTGCACAGTCAAATTGTTTGCTGGGATCATTAATAAGCTTTACAATAAGGTAACATATATAATTGCATTAAAATGTTTGAGAAATGTATGTCACATTGTAACAAAAATTGAACATAAAAGTGTATGATAATAATAATAATAGATATTTTAAAAAAATATAGCTGAAAGATTACAGAATTTACTTCAAGAAAACAAACACTCAAAATTAACCATTGGTGCATTCTTTGACTTTATGAGGACTGCATATCAACTCAATGATAGTGCTGAAGGTTTAGCTACAATATTGAGTGCTAACAGTGAAATTGACTGGCATGAATTAGTAAAGATTGATTTAGAAAAGTCAGAAGATAATAACCAAGCAAGTAACAGCACCTGTAGTTTCAATTCTCAAGTACAGAGAAAGCAAGATAAAAATTCTATAAAAGATTTATTATTGCAAAGAATAAGCAAAATAAGCGTAGAAACAAGTCCGTATACATTTGAAAGTATGATGAGCTCACAGTTTTCCACAATATCTTCCAATTCTAGCATCCAACAAGAAACATGTAGAAACAACAATTTTATGCAGGAATCTAATAATGCAGAAAATTCATATATCAAATGTTTTGAGATAGACGTTAATACTGGAGAAATAAAAAAATCATTAGAATGCAAAGATTCTAATGAAAAAAGAAAAATTTCTTCTCAGTCTAATGAAGATTTGGAAGAAAGAGAGCATGCTTTAGCAAAGATTATGAAAGAAAATTTGAGAGATGTCTTGCATGAAGGATTACTGGATTCTGTTTTGCCATATATGTTTCCAAAATCTACTTTGTCACAACCTATTATTAAGAAAACTCCTGCTGCAGATATTAAAAAAAACTGTTCTTTAGGTAACATAGGTGAAAATAAAGCAGGAGTTTCAACTCATAAAGAAAAAGACAAGGAAAAAACTAAGATACAAAAGAAATTACCGGAGTAAGTCTTACTCTGTCTATAATGATTGCATCTGCATAAATATAGATTAGGAAATTAGATTTGTTCAATAAAATATGTAAATTATGTTAAAAAATATATTCTTTTTGTGTTTGTCATATAGCAGCGAAGTGGAAATTCATGTATGTGATGAAGATAAAAATATTAAAAAACATTTTCGATGTCCGCAGAAGCTTCTTATACAAAAAATGTGTTATTTTGCTGATGTCACAGCAGGACAGAAACTTGACGAGATTGATATATCGGTACATTGTGACGTTGTTATTTTTGAGTGGTTGATGAAATGGGTGAAGAAGGACATTATCAAAAAATCAGAGTGGCCGATTTTAGAGACCAGTAATGTCATACCAATTATGGTGTCTGCTTGCTTTCTACAAATGGAACCACTCTTAGAGATTTGCCTTCATTATTGTCATGATAATATGTCAGATATTCTAAAGACATCAACGATTTTAACATGTCTGGACGATAATCTTGTCACAAGGTACATATTTGTGATATTAATATATTAATATATTTTATATTCTACTGTTATTCTCTCTTTTTTTCTTTTTTCTCTTTCCTCTTCTCTTCACATTTCACTAAAATTGGTTTTTTCTCTGCTATTCTATTAACCTATGTAATTATCAACAGATTGGCTGATTTATTTACTAATGAAGACGTTGAAATGTTAAAGGACAAAAAAGATAAAATTCAGAGTCGTTTGTTTTGTAAATTAATTATGTTCTTGACAGAAATTACTCCGGATAATAAAAAGAGGCATTACAACTCGTTAGCTACGCTGTTTAAATGTGGAAAATGTAACAAAAATATTGTGCAATCAATTTCCAATTTTGTGCCTTGTGTTTCAAGCGCGTTAAAAATTGATAACAAAGGTGCTGTTCACAGTAAGCATGTCAGGTCAGTGAATACATTTTTAATATAATATAATATAATAATAAATAATATATAATAATAACACAGCCACACAAAAAAAAAAACTTTCTTTGGCCTGGGGATCAGACCATGTTTATTATATGTTTTTGGGGTCGCTGAATCCGAATCCGAGGTCCATTAAACCC